TAATTCCAGCACTTTGCAAGACTGAGCCAGGTGAATCCCTTGAGCTTAGGCGTTTGGGACCACGCTGGGCAACATGGTTGGTGAAACCCTGTCCCTACCCAAAATACAAAAATTAGCTGGGTATGGTGGTGCATGCCTGTCATCACCAGCTACTTGGGAGACTGATATGGAAGGATTGCCTGAGCCTGGGTGGCTGAGTTTGCAGTGAGCCGAGATCGGGCTATTGCACTCCAGCCTGAGTGACAGAGTGAGACCCTCTCTCAAAAAAAAGAAAAAAAAAAAAAAAAAGGCCAGGGAGATTGGTGTGAAAGGAGCCGTCTCTGACAGTTTGACAAAGAAAACTCAGGATATAGACATATACCCTTTGCTATGGTTAATACTGAGTGTCAACTTGATTGGATTAAAAGACACAATGTATTGATTCTAGGTGTGCCTGAGAGGGTATCGCCAAAGGAGATTAATGTTTGAGTCAGTGGGCTGGGAAAGGCAGACCCACCCTCAATCTGGGTGGGCACCATGTAATCAGCTTCTATATAAGCAGACAGAAAAATGTGAAAAGACAAACTGGCTTAGCCTCCCAGCCTACATCTTTCTCCCGCGCTTGGCGCTTCCTGCCCTCGAACATCAGACTCCAGGTTCTTCAGTTTTAGAATGCAGACTGGCTCTCTTTGCTCCTCAGCCTGCAGACAGCCTATTGTGGGACCTTGTGATTGTGAGAGGTAATAAACTCCCCTTTACATATATATATATATATACTGTATGTATCTGTTCCATTAGTTCTGTCCTTCTACAGAACTCTGACTAGCACACCTCTGTCCTCATGAACAATACAAAAATAACTTTAGGGACTTCAATATTTCTTTTCCTTTTTTTCTTTTTCTTTTTTTTTTTTTTTTTTCTTTTGGAGATGGAGCCTTGCTCTGTCGCCAGGCTGGAGTGCAATGGTGCAATCTCACTCACTGCAACCTCTGTCTCCCGGGTTCAAGTGATTCTCTTGTTTCAGCCTCCAGAGTAGCTGGGACTACAGGGTCACGCCACCATGCCCAGCTAATTTTTGTATTTTTAGTACAGATGGGGTTTCACCATGTTGGTGAGGCTGATCTTGAACTCCTGACCTGGTGATCTACCTGCCTCGGCCTCCCAAAGTGCTGGGATTACAGGTATGAGCCACCATGCCCGGCCAGCATTTCTAACAGTTCTATTTAGTCAGTATTTGTGAGGATCCTGCTGTGTACTGGACACTTGAACAGGTGCTATGGAGCTGATGATAAATGAGGACTTACTCAAATCGTAAGAGAGCTGCTTTTCTTCTAGGGGAGAATTACACAGGAAATCCAGAACTGGGAGGCTTCTAGACATTTTGTCCAAGACAGGTACATTTCTACTCTGTTATGCTGAAACTGCTTTGCGATTGCAACGAAATCATCATTTACATAGATTAATTTTTTTCTAGGGCCCTAGCTCAATTAATGATGTTTGGAAAATAATCTTATTTTCTTTCATACCACATCATTCTTCCTAAGTGCCACAGTACCTTGAGACTAATTTTAACAAAGTCTTTCGAAATGTTCCACCTTTTGGAGAGAGAGTAAATGGTAATAAAAGCGCATTAATCACACAAAATATATTTGCATTGTAAATTTGAATTGGTAACTTTGCATAATGAGAAGTTGAAATTGCAACATACACAAGGAGCAAAAAAGCAATTCAAGCCCCAATGTATGACTAAAGCATCATCTTGTCTTTTTTATTTGCTCTATTGTTTACCACTGCCTTCCTCAGTATTTATTTAATCCATTTCTCTGAACAGATATTAATAAACTTTAGAACTTCCGCTGTGCCCTTCGCCTTATCACAAGCAAAACAAATTCATTTTCTTCTATTATAATTGACTTATTTTTCCATTATTCGAGTTTGCTTCTCATGAGTTGCATGTGAAGGACAGAATGTTTGCAAGATGTACAATTTAGCCATTTTGGATCGCATCCATTTCTCCAGAATGACACTGATTGCAACATTAATTAAATCATTCTGCATGTTTCTCCATGACCAGCAAGAGTTTTAAAGCAGAATCAGTGACTGAGCCAGGACCAGAAGGAGAACAAGTGCCAGCAGTGGAGGCATGGGGGTTTCAGAGACAGATTTTCCCACCGGGGCAGGGATGGAGGAGGGAGGTGAGGTGGGTGGGGGAAGCTGCAGTCCCATCTCTCTCATGAGGATGGAGGTAAATTCTTGCACCGGCCATGACATCTCAGAGGTAAAGCAAAACTATTGGATAAAATGCACGGATACCAGCCAGGCCGGGCATGGTGGCTCACACCCGTTATTCCAGCACTTTAGGAGGCTGTGGTGGGAGAATCATGAGGTCAAGAGATCGAGATCATCCTGGCCAACATGGTGAAATCCCATCTCTACTAAAAATACAAAAATTAGGTGGTGTGTGCCTGTAGTTCCAGCTACTCAAGAGGCAGGAGAATCGCTTGAACCTGAGAGGTGGAGGTTGTAATGAGCCAAGATCGCGCCACTGCACTCCAGCCTGGCGACAGAGCGAGACTCTTTCTCAAAAAAAAAAAAAAAAAAAGCACACATACTGTTCTCTCCACATCCACCTAAGTTTGTTTAATGTTCTACCCAATGTTCTGTCTAATGCCCCTGCCTGCAAAATAATGACACTCATGGCTCGCTCAACTATGCCCTCCCTACTGGTGAGGGAAGAGAAGGTTGGCTTACAGCTCAGCTTCCCCTGTTAGGGCTTCCTTAGCACCCAGCCAAGCCCCTATCCTCAGCTCTCTTCCCTACACAACTTCCCAGGCTAACTGCCTTCCAACTACTCCATGCTCATCTCTTCCATCTCCAGGGCTACCATCCCAGGAGCCTTCCGGATGCTCCCTAAGCACTATGATCCCCAGGAGACCCCACTGCTGATCAGCAGGAGGCCTGGGAAAGAACAACCACAGGCAATGAAGCATTCCCTGACCAGCAAGCCGGCTCCTGTGCCAGGCCAGTTCTGGGGATCAGAGAATAAAGGGAGCAGTGAAGCCCTGGATGTCAATCATTTATGATGCTGGGAGAGAAAGAAGACAGAGTAGGGAGTTTCTGCTTGGTCCATCAGCCCGCCTGAGCCCAGGAGGTTGTGAGTCCCTTTGAAATGGCCATGGGACTCATCTTTTGACCCTTCTGATCCACAGCCTGCTCCCCTGAAGAGCTAAAGGCTGCTTTCTGTTCTCACTTGAAACTTGATCATTGGTGGCCTGGGGACATCACTTGTCTTATTCTTTAGCTTTTAGATCATGATTTAACTTTTTTCCATGGGATGTTTGATAGTTCCTTGAAGGCAAAGACGCCCCTGGTGGCAGATGGCAATCTGGACACGTTGTAGGCATGGCAGGAAGCAGAAGAGATGACGATAGAGCTTTTGTTCAGAGAGCATGCAAAAAGGGAGAATGTGAGGCACTTCTTAAAAGATGATGGGATCCCAATTAATATTTTATTTAATTATTTGGACACCCTTTTAGACATGCATTATCTAATTTTCCTAACCCTTCATGCCATTTTGTATAGGTAGATTCTCTTCAACTACAGGGAAACGTGGTGCTGACATCACAGGTCTGCACTGAGGTGTTCTTAGATGGAACGATAATGGTCTGTGATTGTCGGAAGCTGCATATATCAGTTCCTCTCCATTGCAGCTAAGAATCTTTAATTACTCAGGACACCTGTCCTTGCCCTGCAGAAGTAACTTGTTTCACGGTAATATCCCATCATTGACCCTTGGCACCATAAATGGTGCTTTCATTCATTTATTCATTATATACTTACTTAAAAATTACCACCCTACAGGCAAGCACTGAACTAGAAGTTTAGGATACGAGATCATAAAGTGCAGTTACTGTCCTTGAGGGGGCTCCTTCCAGTGGGGTAACATATAGCTACATGACAAGGTTGGGTTATAATGCAAATGCTCCAGGAATAGAGGAAGACCAGATAAGGCATTTCAGAGCTGAATGAAGCATGAGACTTGAGTTTTTAAAGATGTGTTAGCAAGCCATTAGGTGTAGAATCGGAAAAAAAATTTGAGGCAGAGGGATAGTTTGTGCCAAGGCTGGGAGACATGAAAGCCTGGAGTAGACTAAGAAAGACAATCTGTTGGAATGGACTGACTGCTGGGCTGTGTGTGTTGGAAGGAGGGGTTGATAAGCTTGGAGAGGTGGTAGAGTCTTGATGTCATGTCTCACGTCTATTTTAACCAGTAGGTAAGGGGAAATCCACTGAGATTTTTACAGAAATAAAACAAGGAGGGTTAGTTTTAGCAAGGTTGTTCTGATGTAAAATGACATTTAGAAGATGTCATTCTAGAAGCCAAGAAACGTGGCTCTTGCCTAGATTCTTGCCTGCCAGTCAAGGGGAGGTCTAGATTAAGGGAGAGTGAGGCTTTAGAAAAAACAGGGGCAAGAACTGACAGATGTGGTGCCCCATTCGAAGGGAAGAAGTTTTGAACGGTAGGGCCCACTTACTGACATAAGAAATACTAGAAAAGGGGTTTTTGGCTTTTCTTTAAATATGGGTAGAGAGTACAAACTTACATTTGCACCAATAAATAATAATGTTACTCATGACTTGTAACATTTTAGCATCAGTTCACACTGTACCCCTTCCCTTGAAAATCACAGTGTCAGTTTCATGACTGGTGCCAGTGTCCTCATTAAAGACATCCTGTAGTTATTCAAATCCCTCTCCTCCTCCACATACTTGCCTTTCTCCCACAACAGACTCCCTCTACATGAACTCCTCCCCACTGCGAGACACCAATCAGGGTTCAGAATGAGGGCAAGCATGGAGCAGTTCTGGGCTCTGGTGCAAATAGGATTTCTATAAAAAGACATTGAGAAAACAAGGACCAATGTTGCCATTTTGCCTTTAATGGAAAAGTGGCCAGCGGTTACAGTAAAAAAAAAAAAAAAAAGAAAGAAAGAAAAAGAAAAAAAAAAAGTTCTTTTATTAAAACAAAACAAAGTTCTATCCAGCTTCTAGGCAATCACTTTTTGAACTTTCAGAAATACACAGATACTTGAAAATCAATTTTTTTTTATAAAAATAAACTCTGAATGTGTGATTAAAAAGGGAGAAGCCCAGTCTTTTAGCTGCACAAATGCATATTAAAAAGGAGAGACATCTGTCTGAGATGGTTCACCCCAGTGCAGAGGGGGCTTTGACTTTGGGAGACAGAGCCTGCTTGAAGCGTCTCTTCAGGTCCTGCATGTTGGGAGAGCGGGGCCGAGGGATGATGGAGGCTCTTCTCCTTTCCCCACTGAGGCTGTGCAGCTTGCTCACTTCTTTGCAGAGATGCTGAAACACATCACAGACATCTTCGTAGTTTTCGCTAGTGGAAATTTCAAGGAACAGGCTGCCCAGCTCATTGGCTAGCTGAATACCGTCCTGTGTCTGTACCTGCCGGGCATGCAAAAGGTCTCCCTTGTTGCCCACGATGATGACAGGGGCTTTAGAGTCAGGGTGGACCTTCCGGATGTGCTGATAAAGGGGTCGGATGGACAAGTAGCTGTCGTAGTCTGTGATAGAATACACCAGCAGAAAGCCCTCGGCCCACTGCACGCATTTGGACAGAGAATCGACGACCTGGGGGAGGCTGTCTTGAATCTGAGAAAACATCAGAATGAGAACCAGTCAAGAAAAGCCTCCATGGGAGAGAAACTCAAAACGACATCAAAGCAACCTTTGAAGAAACACTTGAAAAAGAAATCGCTAAATACAGTTTTCAGGTTCTACCCAGCTTCTGCAGAAGGAGGCTTTTGATAACTGAAAGGACAGATTCCCAGGCAAACTCCCTGCCTGGGTTGCTTTATTAGCTGTTATCCCTGCATTATTTTTAAACCCCTTGCTTGACAGGCAGTCTCTGGTGAACCATGGCTGACTGAAGAATGACCTCAAACCAGAATGGCTCAATTTGTAGAAAACAGTAACTCATAATAAACAAAACTTTGAAAATAAGCCAAGATAAATATCTATTCCCAAACCCATGCAAATATTTTTAACATGCACTTCTTAAGAATGTTACAGAAAGAAATTCCTTGCTTAGGGTTCTTCCACAAGACCTTTCCTCTGGAGAGGGGAGTAGCAATTAGTAACCGGTTAATAAACAAGTTACATTCTAGACCCTCTGCCAAGGGGTTATCTGATTGCAATTACTGGCTTGAGGGAGCAGCCAGTATCAGCAGCACTTCAGCAGGGCTTGGATCCCACAGTGTGGCTCAGCCTATAATCCCAGCACTTTGGAGGGCGAGACAGGCGGCGGATCGCTTGAGGTCAGCAGTTCGAGACCAGCCTGGCCAACATAGTGAAACCCCATTTCTACTGAAAAATACAACAACCACAACAAATTAGCTGGGAGTGGTGGCGGGCGCCTGTAGTCCCAGCTACTAGGGAGGCTGAGGCAGGAGAATTGCTAGCACCCAGGAAGCGGAAGTTGCAACGAGCCGAGATCGAGCCACTGCACTCCAGTCTGGGTAACAGAGTAAAACTCCATTTCAGAAAAAAAGCAGTGCTTGCCAGGGGAGAGGACTCTCCCAGCAGAATCCTATCGGTTGCTGTTTGTTTTTTTTTTCTTTGTTAATGATTCCATGGCTACCTCCGGAAGAAGTGCCTAAGTAGTGATGGCCCACCAGGGTTGCAAAACGAAGTTAAGTCAGCTGCTGACAAGGGGAGGCTGGTTCTAACCACGCCTCCCCCCGCCCAGAGAGTTTCTAACACCCCAACCACTGGCCCCACCTGTGGACAGCCCATTTCTACCTCTAAATGCACAGGTCTGTTTAGATGTCTTGCTCAGACCCCTGCGCCCAGCATGGGCGCCCTATGTGCTGTGCCCTCCGGGGTGGTCTGACGGTTTGGGGTGAGCTCTTTGCCCCTGAAGGTCCTTACCTGGACGCCCCCGGGAGTGTCCTGTATCTGCAGGGAGAGCTGGTCCCCCTCGACGGAGACCAGCCGTGAATACAACTTGCCTGGAGAATGAAGGAGAATTTGCTTTTCAATTCTCAAACTCCCGTCTCGAAAACGAAAAAGAAACATGCAAACATAAAAGCAGGGAGCGTGAAAGTATTCTCACCCGTATTCGGTTCATAGTCGCCAATGAATCTCTTGGTCAGGAAGCGCACGATCATTGCTGAAAAGGAAATTGGAAAATCAACCGAAGGAGCAGGACAAGCCGGTCAAACCCGGGCACTCCGGGGAGAACTGGAGGGAGTGAGGGGCGCAGAACCGCGGGCACTGCTCGCTTCCAGAGGCTCCGCAAAGCCGCGGTGCCGCGGGCTTCGCCGCGTACGACTAGCGGGACACCCCTCCTGCACCCCATCCCCGAACAGGCGTGAACCCCGCCGAGAGCCCAGGAGCAGATGCCCCAGGAAACGGCCAGGGAAGCAGGCCGGGACTGACAGGGACACTCTGAGCGTGAAAGCAGCCGGGTTCGACCTGCCCCTTGCCCGCGGCTTCGGCCGAGGGTCCCTCTCTCCGCAGCGCCCCCAGTGGCCGCGGCCAGAGCCGGGGAGCGAAGCCGACTCGGGGTCCCCGCCGCACTCACCGCTCTTGCCCACGCGGCCGGCGCCCAGCACCGCCAGTTTGATGTCCTTGGGCAGGAGGTCCGGGGAGGACTCGGGGATAGGTGTGAGCAGAAAGTGCCCGGACATGCCGAGCAGCCTCATGGAGCGCGTCCCGCTATCCGCGCGCAAGCCGAGCGGACGGCGCCTCGCCGCACCCGGAGCCGGCTCGCGAGCTGGGAGTGCCGGACAGGGGGCGCGGGACCGCGGCGGCTGTCAGCGGAGCTGTCAAGGCCCGCGGCTTTTAAAGGGCTTGGTGCACCCTAGAGCGCGGCGGCCGCCCCAGCTCCTCCTCGTCTCCGCCCCTTCCCGGCGCGGCGGGGAGGGGCGGGAGCAGAGGCCGCGGAGCTGACTGTCGCCAAGGCTGTGCGCTCAGCCAGGCGCTCTGCTGCAGGAGTTCGGCTCCGGGGCCCGGACCCAGGAGATACCGCCACTGTCCAGAGCGCGCGGGCGGCCACTAGTCAGGCACTCTGCGAGTCTCCTCGCCCCCAGCAGCCAGCCAGAGTCATTAGACCTGTTGGTGAACTTGAGATAGGAGTTACGAGTCGGCGAGAGAAGAAAGAAGAAAAAGTGCGATCAGTTGGATGTTTCTGCAGCAATGGGAGACACAGATTCCTGTAAAACGCCCTTTTTATATTTAAAAGGTGCCAAGGGGCCGGGCGCGGTGGCTCACGCCTGTAATCCCAGCACTTTGGGAGGCAGAGACTAGTGGATCACCTGAGGTCAGGAGCTCGAGACCAGCCTGGCCAACATGGTGACACCCCGTCTCTACTAAACATACAAAAATTAGCCGGGCGTTGTGGCGACCGCCTGTAATCCCAGCTACTCGGGAGGCTGAGGCAGGAGAATGGCTTGAATCTGGGAGGCGGAGGTTGCAGTGAGCCGAGATCGTGCCACTACACTCCTGCCTGGACCACAAGAGCGAAACTCCGTCCGGGGTTGGGGGTAGGGGGGAGAAGAAGAAGAAGAAAAGAAAAGGTGCTAAGGGGTGACATTAATATGGAAAAAGGGATGGAGGGGGCAAGAGCTCTGAATTAGTATCAGTGGAGGCAACTGCAGTCACTGAACTTGCTAGGGATAGATGAAGTCCCTTTAGGGGCAGTGGTTGTTAGCAGCTCAGCATCCACGCCCAGCCCGTTCTCTGCAGCCAGGGATTGCACAGGCTCATTCCTGAACACTTAAGAGCACTCCACTGGGGGCCCCGGCTCTGCACTGTCCATCATTAATACTATCCTATGTGCTTGAGTCATGCATTTGCTTCATTATCCAAGTATTTACTTCTAGGTGCATGATGGAGTCTAGGGTGGGGTGGGAGGCAGTGTGAGGAAGAGGACACAAAAGAGAGCCATAGACTGGTTCTTGGATTTCTGGATCCCACCAGAAGTGGCATGGCGGAAGCCTGAGGACTTTCACCTTGAACAGTTAGAAGACCTTCATGCTTCTGGCCTCCTGTGTTCCAGCCTCAGCTGTCTAATTACCTATTCGACAGCCCCACCCTTATTCACACCTTTCTCTACCTGGTTGTACCAGTTAGTTTTTGCTGCATGACAAACCACACCAAACTAGATGGCTTAGAACAACAATCACTGACAGTTGTTGAGCCCTTTGGTGCATCTGCAGGGAGATTCCAGGTTCTGGGGGTGGGGGCTGGCTGCCCTTGGATGGCATTACTCATGTCTGGCAGCTGTTGGCTGTGATGATGAGAGAGGGCAGTGAGTGAGTTACACGTCTCTTCTCATTCAGCAGGTTGGCCAGGGCTTACTTTCATGGTAGCTGAGCAGAGTTCCAACAGAGTGGGTGGAAATGGACAAGGCCTCCTGAGACCTAGGCCTCAGGTGGAAGCCATCCCTTCTGTTGCAGTCTGTTGGCCAAAGCAAGTCATGGGCCCCAAATTGAAGCAGACACATAGACTGCCCTTTTGTGGAAAGAGCAGAAGTCAGGAGTGAAAGGACTAGGAAGCAGAGTGGTGGAGAATGAGGTCCATTTTCTGTCATTGATCATGCTAATGAATGCGTCTCCATCTACCCAGTGGCCCAAGCCTGGGAGACATCCTTGATGTCCATTAACTCTTTGCCAGTCAAATAAAAGCTTGAATTCTAGACATCTAGACACCCACTCTTTCACTTCCACATTAATCTCCAAGTTCTGTAATTTTTCCTGCCTTTCTTGCTATCTCCCTCTCTCTATCCCTGCTGCTCTCCTCATTTCTCATCTGCAGAATTCTAAATAATCCTGAAGTAAACTAGGCTAGATGGTGACTTCAGTTTACATGTTCCTCCCTTGGAGAAGCTGTCTCTGATCACTGCCACTGTCCCCACCCCTATCTTGCAGTTACTCACTCAGAGCACTGATCTCAACTATCATTACTTTCTGGTGGAATATTTATTTGTTTCATGTCTGTCTCTGGGAGGGCAAGGACTTTAGCTTGTGATTCTAATATCCAGCACATAGTGGCACCTGGGACTGGAAAGGTCCTTAATAAATGTTCACTGGCTGACTTTCAATATGAATGAATGAATGACGTCTTCAGTGTATGAACTGGAAAAGACATTAGTCATGTTTTTGACCATTTTCCCATTGCCTTGGTTTTCACAGCAGCTTGCTCTCAGGAGGAAGGGTGCTGGGAGGTGTCCTGAGATAAACTGCCATATTTAAGTTGTACTGGCTTTTGGCTGTTCACAAGGCAATTTCCCCCATTAAACTGTAGTTTAATTGGAAAGACTTGAAGCAGGGTACCTCCCTCCCTGATGGGGGAAAAGGCACCATAAAGACAGTGACTGGTCGCGAGAACTGGAAACTGTCAAGTTCCGGGGTTACGTGCAGCTCTGTGATGGGAGTTGTCTCTCAGATTCCCTTAACTGCTCCTTCATGGATGCAAGGTGGCTCCTGCAGTATCAAGTCCTTACCCAAACAGGAAGGGAGGGAGTACTCTCTTAGTTGTTCTCTTTAATTATGAACTAAAGCAGTTCTCACAAGAACTCAGCATTCTCCTACATCTCACTGGCCAGAGAAGAGAAACTGAGAAAGAGATTACTCAAATATCTAGCAAAGAAGACTGGAATAGCCGTGACTAGTTTAGACAATCATGATTCCTCCCTCTAGATGGACACCTCACCACCCCCATTCAAAATCAAGGACTCACAGAGAGATGATTGCTAAGGGGATCTGCCATAAACCCTGTTCACCTCCCTGGAGTGAAAATGCAGCGCTTTCAAGGGAAAAGAGCCCTTTCTTGGTTGAATGTAAAGTATCTCTGTCTCTCTTCACCTGTCTCTGTTTTACATTCCCAGTCTGGAATAAGACCACTGTAGTTTAAAGTCAGTCAATAAGGAAGATTTCTAAGACTGTTCTCTGCCCAGTGATAATTACATTCCACCTTGCATTTACATTGCACCTATGCTCAGAAGAGCTCAACATGTTATTTCATTCTCCTTGGAAAAGCTCTTTGCATGTACAAATACACAGAATAATCCATGACCTTCTAGTGAAGACAATAAGCAACTGAACTGTGGAATTATAAACAGCCTTGCCTGAATCCTTGCTGCCTGTGTTCTGCCATTTCATTTTACAATTGTGTCCAGAGTTATGTAAAACTGGTGCAACCAATATAACAGGCATGCTGAAGTGGTTTTAAAAAGATAATAGAAATGCGTAGGCATGGATACAGATATACAAATCTGTGGGTGTTCAGAATGAGTGTAAAGGGCAGAGTTTGGTAATATGCAAATAATAGCAGACTTAGGAAGCTATTAACTCTTTACCAGTCAAATAAAAGCTTGAATTCTAGACATCAGGCAAACTTTGCCAAGGGTCCTCCTCTTCACAAACAACTCCCCCACCCCCAACCGCAATCCTTTCGTGTATATCCTAAGTCCTTGACTATTGAGTCTACTGGAGCATCAGAGCCTCTGGCTTTGAGGTGCTCTCCCTAAACAGGAATCATGCCTCTGCCCCACTTTACTGCAACTCAGCAGGCAAAATGACTGAAAATGGACTTTGTGAGGCTCTGTGATAAGTGCTGGTGCAGAACACAAAGAGCAGCGAACATTTACCAAGAAGACAGGGAACTATAACATACTCCTGCCTGCCTTCACAGACACCCCTGTAGTGAAAACACTACTCAAATTACCATTTGTAAATTACTATTGAGTGTACCAAGAAAATTCTCAAATACTACCTTAGTTTTTAATGAATCCTGTGAAACAGGTAAAGAATATCCTCTAAATTGTGGTTTAGACAAATTGAGCAACCCCTCCAAAGTCACAGAGCCATATAGTGGTTCAGGCCTCAAGCCCTCTGATTTTTAATCTAGGGACATTCCACAGGTGTAGAGGGCAGGATGAAGAGCTGGCCCACATGGCTCCCACCTGTAATCCAGCACTTTGGGAGGCCAAGGCAGGAGGATTACTTGAAGCCAGGAGTTTCAGACCCTGCCTCTACAACAAAAGAAAAAAGAAAGGAAAAGAAAAATTAGCCAGGCATGGTGGTGCACGCCTGTGGTCCCAGGCTCAGAAGATGCGGTGGGAAAATCACTTAGACCCAGGAGATTAAGGATCCAGTGAGCTGTGATCATACAACTGCACTCCAGCCTGGGCAACAAAATAAGACCTTATCTCAAAAAACTCAAAATTCAAAAAATAAAGACAAAATAAAGCAAGCAGTTTGCAGACCACTGTCAGTAGTGAAAGGCCAGAGCAGGTCAGGATGCAATCTCCAACAGAGCTGCCACAGGAGAGTTAGATCTGACTCAGGTATCAGGGAAAGCTTCAGGGAGGCATAAGCTGGCTGCAAGTGTGAGTCAGGTGTGATCGGTGGAAACCAGAGGAGGGCAAAGGCGTATCGGGAACAGCATGCGCAAAATCATGAAGGTACATAGCAAGTGTGAAGAACTCTTGAGTAGTCTCAATGGTGAGAAGCACGTGGTAAGTGACCCAAAAGGCTGGGAGCCAGCCTGTGAACGGCATGTTAAAAAGTTTATTGAGAGGCTATGGAAAGTCATTAACCGTTTCTTGAGGAGGAGAGCTCCTTCTACAGTTGTTTCTTGGGTTATCTGCACAGCTTTAGTTCCAGGATACAAAGAGGATACCAAAATCCAGGGATGCTTAAGTCCCTGACATGAAAGGGTGTTTTATTTTCATATAACCTATATCCATCTTTCCTACTTTATTTTTATTTTTTTTGAGACGGGGTCTCACTTTGTCACTCAGACTGGAGAAGCATGATCTCAGCTCACTGCAACCTCTGCCTTCCAGGTTCAAGCAATTCTCCAGCCTCAGCCTCCCAGCTACTAGCTGGGATTACAGGCGTGCACCACCACGCCTGCTTAATTTTTGTATTTTTACTAGAGATGGGGTTTCATCATGTTGGCCAGCTGGACACGAACTCCAGACCTCAAATGATCCACCCACCTTGGCCTTCCAAAGTGCTGGGACTACAGGCAGGAGCCACTGTGCTTGGCCTATTCCCCACTTTAAATCATCTCTAGATTACTTATAATACATAACACAATGTAAATGTTATGCAAATAGTTGTTACACTGTATTGTTTAGGGAATGAGAAAAAAAAAGTCTGTACGTGTTCAGAACAGATGCAATTTTTTGTCCCAATATTTTCCATCCCAGCTTGGTTGAACCCATGCATGCAGAAGTCACAGATATAGACACAAAGAGTAGACTGTACACACAACAGTATGAGTACTAG